CCTATCTGCGTCCAAGTGTCATTTCTAATGTTGTTAAATGACAGATTCCTTTATATGTGGCATATTGATGGATTAAGTGAGATGATACAGATGAAATGCATGTTCATGTCCAGATCAAAACAGGGTCTTGCTTTATGGGTGGAGCAGACAATTAAATCTGATAAAAATCCTCCTTTAGATTTACTCCCAGTGTCCCAGTGGACACATTTTCTATATCAAACTTAACTTGATACCGATTAAGTATAGGTCCCAAACTTCTTATCTTAATGTGGTTTTGCATGTGTATGAAAAATGTCTTGTATAGCAAACAAAGCCTACATGTTCAATAAATCAGATATGCCTACCGATTCTTCTAGTAAGGATTTATTTAGCAAAACACATGCAGTGGGGCGAGTGAAAAAAGCGGATTTCCCTAAAGGAGCATCAATAAAACTATCACATCACCGCTGTCACATGGCAAAATAACGATATAGTCAGAGCACACGCAGCATTTGAACTGAACTGCAGTGGGATCACACAGAATAGGCTAGATGCTGTTTGCTCTCCACCAGTGATCAGAAAGTGCAGGCAGCGCTGCACGGCTCCAGCTCTTCTCCTCTCTGCACACTGAACAGCGCCGAGCTGTGCCGCCTGTCTCCTCGCATTTGCTTGTGCACGCAGTGCGCCGAGGGCTGCAAATCAAACGCCCGCCGTTTCGCTCCGCGGCTCTGGCGGCTTCCTCATTGGCTCCGAGCGGCAGCCAATAGCTGCGTGTGTTTACCGTCGAGGAGGGGTGGGTGGAGGCGGGGGTGGGGTGTGTAGGAAAAGGGTAAGGTAGGGTAGGGTGGGGGCGGAGGTGGGGGAGCGCCTCACGGGCACGCTTTCACATTGTCGTTCTCAAACCAATAGGCCTACGCGTTCACCCCTCCCCGCGCGCACACACACACATACACACACACACCCCTTCATCCTCCTTCTCCTCCTCCTCCTCCTCCTCCTCCTCCCGGCGTGTCTGAGTCTCCGGCTGCATGAACGAGCCTCGATCCACTACAAGCCTGAACTTCTACGATGCGTCTCTCCCATACCTCAACTGACTGCACACCACAGTCTGCAGCAGCATAGGATGTAATCAATCCCACATGTTTCTTCTCTGCGACTCGGGGATTTTCTCTTTGAATATTTTTCTACTTTTTGTTTCATTATAGCCCACTCGCCATGCAATGGATATAACTTACCAGTAAGTAGAAAATTATTTTATCGCTGTGTTTTATGATCTTTAGTGATGGCACTGGATGTCGATTTTAGTTGAAATGCTGCACAGGAGAGGCTGATCTGAATTTTATTTAAATTGGGATGCATCTATTTTTCAAAAAACTTCGCTATTTTTTACTGTCATACCTTTAGAGAAGTCAGCAGTAAAATAAAAGCTGATATAACTGCTACATTACAGGATAAAAATCTAAAGACACCCCTCTTTAGTAATTGTAATATTTGCATTAAAGCAACACAATGCTACGAGGATTTGACAGTATTTTGAAGGATTTATTTAAAGTAATCAGCCTGCTGTGTTTCCTCTCCTGTCCAGTGTGGAGGGCTGAGCTGTGGGCGATATGTGTGTCACTTTTTGATTTGACCTCTCTTCACAGCCAAATTACTTGTGTGTTTCTAATTCATTCAGAGGACTATTCAAAGCCACTCGCTTTTCAGAGCGCCTCCTCACGCCTCTAGTTTCATAGATTATAAATTGTAGATTATTTCTTTGTTAGTTTCCCATTGTGCGTGTGTTCGTGTCTGTGTGCGTGTGTGTGTGTGTGTGTGTGTGTGTTTGAGAGGGAGGGAGACAGAGAGGTTTATTGCAAACTGCAGTGCTCCCTGCTTCCTCCCTCGGTGTGAAGGCTGTGCAGACGCCGGGCTGTCTTCGGCTCGGCCGGGCTTGTCTCTCCTGCTTAGCTGGCCTCTGAATGTCCGGATTTAGTGCCTCGGTTATGCTTCGAGACTTTACTTTATTGCAAAATTGTTGAAGGCAAATGACTTGGCCTCTGAACCCGAGCCACTTCAAAAGTGAATGCCTTTTAATTCCCTTTTTATCTTTTGTCCAAACCTCCACACATTTCCGATTTAATAGATTTCTGTCCAAAAGGCGCAAACCTGTATTTTTTTTTCTTGTGCAACATCAGCTGCGTTAGATGTGAAAAAACACAATTCTTTGCGGATTTGTTGGCTTTTGTGCGAAGTTCACGTAATGTCATTTTAACCAGTGGGCTATTGGTTACTTTTGTAGGGGGATTTTCGTCTGGCGATAGTTTGACCCTTTGCAGGGCAGTGATGGTGGTGTGTGTGTACGTGTGTATGTGTGCGCGCGTGTTTAAGAGGTGTGTGTCTGTGTGTGTCTTTGGGAGGTGTGTATGGGGTTTGAGGGAGTCTGGTTGAAGTGGAAGGAAGTCTGAACGCCTTCCACGTAGATACACACACACACACACACACACACACACACACACACACACGCACACACACACACACAGATACACAGTACAGCAGATCCAAATGATCATTTTCCCAAACTGTTACGCGCGATCTGCTCACGTCGTTGTGTTTGCTTGGCGTACGATAACCCGGGATTTAGATTCAGGTTGTTAAATGTATCCTGAGTGGCTCTCTGTTGACGTGGAATGTAAACACAGAGGACGTGTGTTTACGGCCTAAAAATTGAAAAATGTATAGACAAATGTCAGAAGAGAGTGGTTTATGATTGATGTCCCGTAGAGAAGGGCCATTGTTTCTCACAGCCTAGGGGACAGGAGAGAGTCCATTTTGCCTTCCCAGTGCGCTTCCAGTAGCCTGCCTTTCTCTCCTGTTTTTACCCTCATTTCTCCCTGCTGTCGACTAGATGTGGTCAAAAGTGTTAACGTGTTTCTCACAAACAAAAAGGAAATTAAATTATTTAAATGCACTTGCAGCTTGGGCAAAAAAATATTCTTATGGGAAGCATTTTGACATTTTGCATGCTCTGGATATTTTATGCTTGGGAGTGTTTGGACGCACACACTCACGAACACTTTTGCAGGCTCTGTCAGAGCTGCTAAACTTTGGATATTTTTTCAGCCCCCAAACACAATTCCTGAAAGTTGGGAGTCCTTGAGCAGCGCTCAAGTGTGTGTGTGTGTGTGTCTGTGTGTGTGTGTGTGTGTGTGTGTGTGTGTGTGTGTCAGAAAGAAAGAGAGAGAGAGATAGAGAGAGAGAGACAGAGCTAGAGAGAGAGAGAGAGTGTGTGTGCGTAAAAGGAGACTTGAATATCCGAGCTCATGCAGCCTATATTCTTATGCACTTCATAAGCCTCTGGTCCACCAGAGCATTTGATATTTTCTTTGTTCTTTTATCGTGGATTCCTGGGAGGTGCTATCAGCATCTACAGAGCGCTAGATGGACGTGCCATGCATTGAAAGGCCTGAGAGATGGACTGCTGAGGTGTGTTTGGTGAACGCAGGCACCCAGCTCTCCCTATCTGAGCGTCACAGGGAGTCCTATTTAAGTAAATGACCTGGACTATGAGGCATACATATAAAGTCAATGATTTCCTAGTCTATTTCACTGTTTATTGCCCCGCTCCCTCGCACTGGAGCATAAAGGTGATTTGATTTGTGTTTGTGATTACAGTGTAGCCTATATATACTCTATATGTAGCGGAGATGCATGGTGTTTGCCATTGTCAGGAGGCGAGGGCCACTGCTGCTGACTCCGTAGGAGTTAATAGAAATAGTTTTCATTAATGAGCAACACTACAAATAAGAATCCTGGTCACGATGGTGTAAACTATAAAAAGTCAAACATTAAAGGCGAATCAAGTTTAGTAAATACATTTTTTTTTTTAAAAACCCAGAGAGCTGTGAAGTCAGATTAGATTTATAAAAGCTATACAACAAACACCATTGATCCAAGACATAAATGTGTGTGTATGGCAACTTGATCTCACATCGATCCCATGTTTCAGTGCATTTTTTTTTAAATCGTGGAAATTTAGACCATCGTCCACTAAAGTGACACAACCACGTGTTAAAGTAGAGGGGATCACATTTTATGACAGCTGAAAGAAATCAAACTTAATTTACATAAACAACAGCCAGTAATCACAGCAGAGACGTGTGTTTCTTTCTGATTTTGGACACTATGGGGACCGGGCAGGTTGGGGAGTAGATTTTAGTCGCCATGATTTAGGATAAAAACTGCTTTTGCGCATTTCTTGCTTTGTGCAAATGGGTTTCTTCATATTTCAGTGCGAGAGCCTCCGAGGTCCAGCTTGTTTATGACAAGTCCTTGTTCAGTTTAAAGACTTAACAGCTCGTCCTTCATCGAGAAAAGCTTTTTACCACTGTGAACTCTTGTACCTACTGTATATGCATCATTTGTTTGTACCTGAGCCAAATCTCCCCCTCTCCTTTGCATTCTTTTCGCTGATAAAGAAAGCTCCCGTGTGCGTTATTTGCATCGTGTTTGGTCACAGGATGAGGGGGAGGAGGGGGGCAAAGACTCCTCTGTTGGGGCCAACTATGTAGTGCAGAGTAAATCCACATAAAGTCAGTTCGCCCACCTTTTCATCTGCAGGACAGACTTAACTCACCTTCCCGGGCTGGCATAAATCGACGTTAAATGTGACGTTAAATGTAACATAAAGTAGCGAGGTGGAGTGTAAATGTGGTCTTTTGAAGCGTTTTTGCGAATTTCGAATTGCTTTTTGTAAATACTGCTTGTTTGTCTAAACATGAGCAGCGACTGTCTCTCAGTTCAGCCTTTTCTTCAGCACTACATCCCTGGTTGGCTCATTATTGTCAGCGCTTTGACGTGTCTCCTGCTCTCTCCTTTGTAGGACATGACGGGGACTCAGTTTCTACCCTGCAAAGCCAAAACTCCGCTCAATGCGAGGGGAGCCCGAAGTTCATAAAAGGGATTATTTGCATCTGGGTGCCTGAGACCTTCGGTGCCTCCGGATTTTACTTTGGATTTGGGATTTATCGGTTCTCGCCGGGATGGAAAGCCGAGATTTCGCTCCTCCGCACCACCTCCTGACGGAGCGGAGCGCGTTGGTTCACAGCGCCGCGTCTCGGATGGCGCCAGGCGGCCACGGCTCCGTGCAGCACCCCGCTCACTTCCAGCCCGGGAAATACTACTCATCCCACCTCTCCATGGCTCCGCACTCAGGTCAGTTTTGAATGTAACTCTTTTCCTGTGTATGAATGACAAGCGTGGGTTAAAAAAATCACTTACTCTCTTTTGTCTGAAGCATATGTTCTCCATATTGCAAACTTGGGAAACCTTGAAACTGGGAGGAACTAGAATTTACTGTGGAAGGAAATTACTCAGACTTTGTGGGAGAGAAATTATCAAAAAAGGCACAGGCGTATTAAAGAGTTTTATGTTTTACTTTATTTAATGAACTGTTTATGACATATAGCTGCTTGCTGTGCCTAATAATAAAAATAAATATAATTTGTCACTTTAGTATTTCAGCCTTGCGTAGAAGCAAAAATGTGAAACAGAGAAGGGGAAATTTGAAAATTAGATTAACTTGAAATTTACGACACAGACTACCTCCTTTTTGTTTTAGACTTTAAATCTCTCAAGAATTTAAAACTATTCCAGGATTATTCTCCTTTATCACACTGGGATTATTAGGCGTTTCCAGTGGCATAATCTTGTCATACATTTATATGGTTTCATCAATTAGTAAAGTACTAATCATTGCCATTTGATTTAATTAATTAGAACTGGGTAATTCCACTGCTTATATTTCCAATTAAACAATAAATTAAAGCTATTAGCTGAGCTCTACCCTTATTTGTACAGTTTTCTGTGTTTCATGTGTGTGT